TTCAGAGGGGATATTTGTCCCCAAAACATACGGCCCGAATTTTTGAAGGTAACGAATATCCCCTCCTCAATTTTGTTGTCAAATCAAGGATAAGTGGGTCTTTTGGATATTTTTAGTCCAATCCCCCTTGATATCCACCTTTATCTGGTGCCCCCAAACACCCCTTATAAGGATAAGATTCAAATCATATCCCATCTTTAGATATGTTTGGCTTGGTTTGTGGGTCCCATTCACAATTAGTTGTATAACATACTCAAATGACCATTTTACCCTTGTATAAAAAAATGTTATCCAATCCTATATTATGTTTGTTATGGAATGAAAAAAAGGTCAAATCCATTAGTATTGCCTTATTTGCAAAAAAAAATACGAATCAATACCTTACGCATTTTTACAAAAGATTACAATAAATATTTTGTTCATTTATTTAATTTAATTTGTACAATTCACTTTTAATCACAAATTTTTTTTTCAATAAATAGCAAAATTAATTCGAACTCAATCCAAAAAATTTTCAATGACCTAAATTCAATTTATTTTTCATGAATTTTAGGGCATTTTAATATTATTGTCTGAATTAATAGCAAAAATCAGGTCAATTTAAAATATGTTACTTTAATTAATATGTTAATTTTTTTAGAGTTGTATAAAGTGAAAAAAAAAAAAAAACCTGAGAGTTATGTGCTAATTTATGAACATAAGGGGTAAAGTGCAAAAAAATCGAATTGAGGGGGTAGAAAGTGGATTTTAATGCGGTTAATTGCTCATCTTCTCCACAGATGCTTCGACTTCAGTGACAAACAGAGAGAAAGAGTGAGACGGAGAGAAAGAAAAGCTTCTGAAAAAATTTATCTTCTTTCCTTTCTATCTTCTCAAACAAATTGAGATGAGTTACCGTGGAGATCATCTCTATTTTCTCCCAAACAAATGGAGGTTGCAGACCAAAAAATTTACCCAGATATGCGCAGTGAAACTATTCACAGATCTGATAGTTCCATGGAAAAATCAGAGCCCATGTAAAGTTTCAAAAATCGATACACAGAGGTAAGTATTTACTGTGGAGGATATTTTTGATTTTTCATATGCAATCCCATTTCACAATTTTGAATCCCCCACAGCGGAAGGAATTGTTCAATGGCCTGTAGAGGGGATTGAACCCTTCAAAACCTATGGCCCGAGGAATTCAAATCCCAATCCAATCTCATGCCAAAAAATTACCCAAACTAGGAATAAGTGGACCTATTCACAATTTTAATCCAATCCCCCTCAATCCTTTCATCCAAACACCACCTGTGTGTATAGGACTCATCACAATAATTTAGTCTTAAAAGTTTTTTAGTCATCTGATATTGATTGTGTGAGTATGATTCTCTCCAAAACTCCGTATTAATAGAAATCTCGTACACTGGGTCGTTGTAGACATTAAAAAATTAGTCTATTGTTAGGCCTAAATCTAATTAAATAACTTCTTAAATTAAATTGGGTTGAATTTAAATTTCATAAAGCCCAAAATAATACAAAGTCACCGAAATTCCATAGGCTTGAATTGGACTTAAACTCCACAACCCAAATAATACAAGTCTAAATTTAATTAACTAAGCTTGTCATATTAAATTAATTTGAACCTACATTTTTCATAAGCTCAAATAATATAAATCAATTAAAGCCCATAAAATTAAATGAATAAAGGTGACCTGCTATCTAAAGCCCATACAAGAATATTATGGATAACTACCCCCACCTCTATAAATAGAGGTCTGAGAAGACTAAAAAAGAGGCAAGAGAAGCCAAGGAGGAGGGAAGTTCAAAAAACCTTCGCCCGAGTCCATCTCAAGAAAAGAAAGGAACATCAACAACGAAGCTCAGTCAGAGTCTACCCACAACTGGATTCTTGCAAATCTATCTTTAAGGAGAAGAAATACCACTAAGATCTTTCTTCAAGAGATCCAAATTATCTTCAAATCATTCAACATAAAGAACGGCAAAAAAATTCAACAAAGTTAAGTCAAAGATCGAAAAATGAGATTTTGTTCAAACTTTTGTCTTCAACAAATTCACCAAATCAAAGATCGAAGAACGAGAATCATGTCAATTTAACTTTTGTCTTTAACAAATCTATTAAAGCATCACCAAAATCAAAGATTGAGGAACACGCTGATCAAGCACTTGTTTTCATGAAATTCATTAAAATCACCATCAAATTAAAGATCGAGAAACACGCCAGTCCAGCCTTTGTCATCATCAAATTCACAGAGAATCAGATGACAATGGACATGAGAAATACATCGAAAAGAATCAACACCACTTTATTAAATTAAATCAAGTCAAATCATTCAACAATTATAATTTTGACATTATCTTTGTGTTAATATTACACACGAAATTTTGTTGTTACAGTCGTTTTGATAAAATTTTTTAGTCACATATTGCCACCCTTAAACTTGAATGCTGGTTACGCCCTTGATCGAGATGGATCAGTTGTGATAGAAAAACTTACGGCCCAAGGCCCACTCAATTGGCCAATTGCATCGGGTCTCTGTTTCATTGTTATCTTTGTGAAATTTTCAAATCTGTTCTAATTCTTTCTTGATTTTTTTTGAGTGGTAGGCCAGCCTGTGGGCAGTCCATTGTGGGCCTTAATTGGACCAGCAATGTGGAATATATCAAGCCCAAAACAACAGTCGATGACCCTACACAACGGGCTATCGAGCTTCCCATGAACAGCAAATGAGGGACTAAACCAATCTCGTACAAAAATGTTAAGAGCAGATGAGCTTGGGCCTATCCTTGCAGTTGAACACATAGCCCCAAAGTTGGGCAGGGCCTGGTAATTAACAGACCTTTCTACGAAGTCTTGCACTTCTGTTAGACTTTAAACTCGAATCTCGTCGTTCATCTCAATGTAATAGTGCTCGATTACCCCCCCAAAAAATAAGGATAGCAAGAGATTGATTTAAAAATTGTGACCCGAATTCGAAACTGACAGGAACGTAGAATTGGGTGCTTCAAGAATTCATCTATGATTTTTATAACAAACTTTTCGACGTAGAAAGATGTCCTTATTCCTTCACTTTTTATTCTCGCATGTCGCAATTTAACTATGTGGATCTATTACTAGTGGATTTCAATAGTTAATGCAATCCATCGAGAATCTAATGACACTAGTATATATTGACTCAAAAAATTAGATTCAACTAGTGTTATTACCATTCAATCTAGGGAACTGCGGTACCTCATTCGGTATTATATCAAAAGATAAAATGTTTTAAAAATTAAATTACAACATTTTGAGGGTTAAAGTTAGGACTCAAAAAGTTATGATTGGCCATAAAATACAATAATTGATCATAAAAAAAAATACATTTTACAGGTCAAATTACATATTTTTTAAATATTAAGTTAGACCTTTTAAATGTCAAATTATAACTAATTGAAGTAGTTTGTGATTGATTATAACGTATTATGACATATTGCAATGCTATGATTGATCATATAAATATTATGACCTATCTCAAATAATTGTAACTTTTCATTTACAAGAAATAGATTGATCCGTAACAATAGTACTCAAATAAAGAAGCCCTAAGACGTTGTAACTTTGATAATTTTTTTCTCTCTAATTGTGGGTAAAAAAAGACAATTCAGTGCACAAGATTATCACCTTAACAATTAAGAAAAATTAGACGAACACAGTCATATCACGCATGCAAATACACTGTTATTGTGATTCAAACCCTTGACTCCCGATCACACAATCTAATCCAAATCCAAAAATTCATTGGCCTTTAGTGTAGGAAACGAATATAAATGCATATTTGATAGTCAGAGTTCACATTTTCATTCCTCAGCCAAGCCATAAGTGTTTTCTTTTGATCAAGTATTCAAAAGCACCCGGAAGATAGATATTATTTTTTATTCAAATGTCATCACTAGTAAGGGAAAGGTTATAGGACCGTTAGTGGTATCGTATTAAAAATTATAATTTTTTAAAATTAAGTTCCAATTTTTTTTAGATATAAGTTACTATGTAGGTAATTTCTTACATAATAATGACATAGAAGCACTATGGTTGACACTCAAGGGTTGCTCTTAGGATCGAGGATGACGAAAACCTGAGAATCACATAGAAATATTAAAAGGGAAGCCGAAGGTGTCTTCGGTGATTTTCCTACAATGCTAAAGTCAATTTTTTAGGGGGAGAAGACAATGTTAAGTGTTGGGTTGTGAGAATGTATATATGTTTCTCGTTTAAGAATGTTATCTATACTTTTTTGGTGGACGAGTGTGTCTATCAAAAATATTCATATGAACCCCCTTGATGGGAGGACTCCTAATTGGCTCACCCTTGAGATAGCAAGGTTGTTTCTTTGACCTGGTCAGGCGGCTGGGCATCGAGTAAGGTACTCCTTTGACCTCGATCTTTGACATGCTCGTCAATCTGATGCATATTAATGAGATTACTCCCTAAGCCTCCAAATCGTTGCCGATCATTAATACTAATCTTGAGCATTCATTATGAGACTTGACGTTAGACAACATGCTCTACAGAAATAAATGTTCAGTATTACACAATGTGCCAAGAGATTAATGTTCTCTCTCTTTCTATCCCATGAACATTAAATATCTCTGAGTCGTTTGTCATATGCTCATGAGGAGCATTTATTGTATACTTTAGAATTTATCCCATGATTGATTGCAATATAATATTCTATTGAATCTGACAACATGAGACGAAGAACCTATGCCAATTGATAGTCGAGCACAGTTTTTTCATAAGACATTCCGTCGTTTATTCTTAGGTGGCATTCCTACTGACCCAAAGTCATATGTCTTTCATTATGCTGATCGACGTGGTGGGTGTGTACGGTTAATCATCTCTAAAGTGCCTCGGTCAATTTTTCATCGGTAGTCTGATCTTCTTGACCTCAACATTCTTCGGTCTAAACCAAGAAAATCTTTAGTCGGCGTGCATAACAATACCAAGGAAATCCTAACGCTCTTTAGTCAACATGACAATGCCGAGAGAGTTCCCTACCCTGAGGACATCCTCTGAGACCGAGCATTATCACCTCTGCACTTGTTGGCAGAGTATGCCAAATGTTTGCTTCTGGTCCAACATACCACATCCTGTAAGTTATAACTTTTAAGAACATAATCAATCAGGATAACTATTATCAGTCATGAGATAATTATAATTTCTTATTTTAAACTTGTAATTTTACTATAAAAAATAATAATCCGTGATACAATACCAAAAAAAAAAATTGGTACCGTAAACTTTTCTCACAAATAATCATAGGGTTAGACTTTTATACCAAAAAATAATTTATTAGTATTATACTTCTATTTATTTTAACTTAATTGAACAGGACACAAGGTAAGTCATCCTTTTTTTTTTTTAGCTTTTCTTTATTTGAGTATTTCACAATCACAGTTATAAATAACCCAAACCAAAATTTATTGTTGAGTCGTTTGTGGAGTCTAGTTTGTAGGTTGATCTGAATGATGACTCAACTGAAGTAATGTTACATGATTTTTTAATGAATTTTTTTTGAGATTTCGTCTATGGAGCGAAAACTTGGATCGATAAGCCCAAGTCGTAGCGCTCATGGGAGTTCAAGGGCAACGCCCCGAGGAAATTTTTTGAGCCTGTTTTGTAACTCGGTGCGTAGAACATATAAAAGACCACTACTTTGGTAATTAGAGTTTGATCGAGGTGTATAACCGTTCTCTGTAATCCTCTCTTTTAATTGTGAAAATCCTGCAGTTTCGTAGACGTAAGTAAATTGTCGAACCACGTAAAATCTGTGTCTTGTTCTTTCTTGTTTCTTATTGTTTTATGTTCTTGGTTTATTCTTCGATTGTGTGTGTTTGTCTATGAATTTAAAGCGTATTAAATCCCAACATTTATGATTGAGAATCATTTTATGATATAAAAAAAGATATTTTTCGATACTGTAGTCTTATCTTAATAATACATTTTATGATACAAAAAAAAAAAAATTCGATGCCATAATCTTATATCTTAATAATACACTTCATAATTTCAAGCCTTTTTCTAGACTAAATGGGATCGAATGTCACCAACCACATAGATTACAAGGTACGGACAAGAAGAATCTTTATATTCTATTAATATTAACTATAAAAATCTCCAATTTATATAGGCTTGCCTTCCCTACCCCTTCCTTTTGTTGAGGTTGGCGAGCAGAGTTAGGGTGCTAATGACAGGAGTACTCTGTAAAATGGATGGATAAAAAAAAAGAGGTGTCAGTGATATTTCAAAAACTAAGGGGGTGTTTTTATAATTATACTAATTTATAGGGAGTGTCATTTTAATTTACCCATAATGGAAACAATTATAATATTGATAAAAAGTTTGGTATTGTACCAAATTTATACTATTATGGAGAGTCAAAATATACTTTGTAAAAGAAAAGTTAAAAAATTAATGATCGTTGAGTATAACTTATCATTAATTTTTAAAAATTGTATTTTTCATCATCAATTATTAAGTGTAACTCATCCTTGACCTTTAAAATTTATTATATTTTTTTCATCGATTATTTATTTGATCAAAACTTTTTAAATTACAACTTAAATTCTTAAAAAATATAACTTAATTTTAAATATTATAACTTTCCACACAATACAAAGAAGTCTCAAATAAACAAATTCCACTCTATATTGAATATTAGTGATTAAAGATTTTTTTTTAGTAACAATCACATCAAGATAAGTGCACGCACCAATTAAGATTCTCTTTATTACATAATATATCATTGAGTAATATATCATCCCCGGTATATGGTTGGGTGGTCTATTGTTATCATTGAATAAAATTAAATAAAAATATAATAAATTTAAATATTTTGAATTCGAATCTTAATAACTCTTAATTTTAGTATAAATAGTCTGTATTTGATTAAAATAAAGAAAAAATTAATTGAAGTCTGAGTAAATTAAATCGGACTCTGACCGGGGACCAAAAATATATATATATATATGAAGATCTCTGCATTCACCCGACTCCATGACATACCAATAATGACAATATCTCTTAGACTAACTATAAGTCTATAACCCAGAATTTAAAAATAAAAGAGCAATGATATGTGTATCAAAAATATGCATCAAAATTTATATTAAATCACTTGCAATGTTGGATCAGCAGGTCAATCCACAATGACTACAGTTGATCTGGCTCAAGTTTTTGTACATCTAACTATAAACACTATCAAAAAGAACAATCATTGACATTTAACTAAAAATTTTATTATAATCTAAAACCGAATCAGTTCCAAACCCCAAAATCGCCGACACCAACATCCATCGTATCTTTAACCCAAAAAATAAAAAAAAAAAAACACGTAAAGGGAAGATATACGCCGGAGAAACATATATCGGCCGTTCACCATTTTGGGAGTATGTACACAATCAAACAGATAGACTAAGATGTGTGTGTGAGGAGAGGGGGGCGTTACGGAATGCTATGTTTACCGGGACGATCAGCGGCTTTGAGGGTTTTGTCGATGAGCTTACGAGCTTGCTTGCTACGGATCTCAATCTTGACGCTTGAGCTCTTATCCATTTTAATGTATGGCTTCTTCTTGGACTTCTTTAGGGCACGAACCTTAGACTTTATCGACTCCACCAAATTCTCCAACTGGTTCGCCATTTATACACTGTATCGCATACAGAGAGAGAGAGAGAGAGACTCCCAACGAGCTCAATGAGTGCGCGCCTTTAGGTTTTATTCACCGAAGAATTGATAAATGTCCTTGGCTCTGGAGATTATTACGAGCGTACCATTGGATGTCCCTTCGTCAGTTACCAATTTTTTCGCTCCAATTTTTTTTCTGTTCTATTCTGGGCTAACGGTAAAGATCAGTTATGATACGTATAAATTGTTTCGGACTTTTTTTAACTATTAGACTAAATGCACACTCGTGTTTTACGTGAAAAAAATTTAGTCCATTAATTTGTTATTAAATTTATTTAAAATATAAAATTAATGAGTAATAAAATTAAATTAATTTTTGTAAAAGTAAGTGAATAATTAAAATACCAAGAAAAAATGCACATAATTTTTTAATCTCAAAATTTGATAAATTTCAGTTAATAAATGATAAAAAAATACTCCAACACATGGTACATAGTCCATTACCGTTTTTTTTTTGGTGTGGTATCTAACTTTAAGTATTTTCTTAAATCTTTTTTTCCTATAGTTAGAATAAAGAATTTTTGGAACATACAATTTTTATTTATAATGTTATAATAGAATATGAGTAATAAAAAATTAAGTTTAATAAATTTGATTACAAAGTATTAAGGTTTGAATCGATTTCAATCGCTCTTTTACAAAATTTAACAAATAAGTTTGAGGTTGTTTGACTATCAGTTAATAGGCGTTCTCAAAAGATCCATTATTTATATTTTATCTAAAAATTGATAAACTCTACCCAAAAAAAAAAAAGTGAATCCAAAAAATGATAAATGAAATCAAAAATTACATCAACTTCTCAGCTCAACCAAATTACACCCGTTATTTGAATAAACTCTAGTTTGGAGTTTTTTTGTTTGCTCTCTTATTAGTCTCTTCTCTCTTCTGAAAGAAATCTATGTCTTCACTTCAAAACATAAGGGGTCTATAGTTTCTTGGAACAACCGACTCTCTTTACATGCATTTTTAAAGATTCTCATAATGGAGTTGGATTGCAAGTGTCATTTTTAATTGGTTGAAATTTTATACTTCTTGAGTTGCTTCTTTGAATTTAGATTGTAGAGATCCAGGCAAGAAACTTTTATCTTTTATGCAAACCCTTGATGCATTGGGGGTTTTGAGTACATAAGTTTTAGAATATTGTTGGTTAAAAAATTTATATTCTTTTTAATTCATTGATCATGGACAGATTTTTATTAAATGAATTTGTTTATGTGAACTTTGTAAGTTATAATTTTAGTCACTTATAATTTAGAAGTGTTTTTAGAGTGTTAGTATGTTTTTTCTGTAGTAATTTTTTTTTGGCTTCTATTAATTAATTTTTTATGTGGTGCTTACCATGTTATGTTAGGTATTTTTATGATAACCACATTTGTGATTCTTGAAGTCTTGTCTATGATTTCTTGTGTAAAATTTTCTAGTTCACGGTTTACTTTTCTATTTATTGTTCTCCTAGATTTGTTAATATAATATTAAGAAGATTTTTGTACAAATGATTGAAGAGGGAAAAAAAGAGGCAAATTATGTCTTAAGTAGTTTTTCTGTGACACCTTCTTTATTAACAGTTCATGTTTTTTGACTTATAAGAGATTTAAACAAGCTTTCAAAATATTAGCTATACGAGCAATGAAAAATTGGATTTACAAGAGGTTGTAATTAAACAAAAAAACACTAACATAGAAAATTTTAACGTAAATATAGGAATTAATAAATCAACTTCAATTATGCCGAATACTTGACCTACCACACCAATTAATAAACTAAAACATAAGAATTAATAAACTAACCTCAATTATTATGCTGAATACTTAACCTACCACACTAATCTCTTAGAAAACTACTAGACATTAAATTAAGAAAAACTAAGTGCCACAAAATATAGGAATTAACGTAATAAACATAGGAATTAATAAACTAAAACAGAGAAATTGATAAACTAACTTCAATTATGCCGAAAATTCCAACTTTAACTTTATTGAGTTTGTCGCAAAGAGCATGAGGCCATAAGACTTCAAATAAATGACTATGGCAAGTCAACTTCAAACTCTAACATAAATAAAAAAAAAACTTGTTTGATAACTTTGCTGAAAAATTTGATTCTATATAAAGGAATTCAAGATATTTTAGAAGTCTAATAAGTAGGAAAAACAAAAAAATGTATGTATATGTATCACCTAAAAATTACCAATATGTGGTATTAGAATTCTAGTAGAATTTGTACAATTGAATGGAATAAAAAGAATGCATTGTCATAAAGATAAAATTTATATGTATCACCTAAAAATTACCAATATGTTATGTTAAAATTCTAGTAGAGTTTGTATAATTGAATGAAAAAGAAAGAATGTATTGTCATAGAGATAAAGGTTAACTATCAAGTCATAGAGATAAAATTTATCTAGCCAACATTTTGATAAAATTTATCTAGGTAATATTTTGATAAAGTTTATTTACCAAGTCATAGAGATAAAATTTATCTAGATAATATTTTGGAAGTCAAGTAAGTATGAAAGACGGGAAAATATGTGGATATAATTAATTTTATGGTAATAATTAAGGGTGAAATAAAAAATTAAAATTTTTCACACATGCATACATTTATAAGTAGTGTGTATATATATATATATAGATATATAGATATAGATTAGACTAAAAAAAAAAATTCTTACTCAAAATAATCTAGTGGGTATCAATAATTATTTTGGTGAATTATTTTGTCCGTTTAAAAATAAAAAAATGAATAAAAACTTTATAAATTTATTTTAAACATATTCAAAAATATTAGTCAAAATATACACAAACATCTTAAAATAATTAAGAATATTTCAAAATTAGGTGATCAAACAAGTTATTGGCATTCCCCCAAGGCATCCTAGTCCAGTGGGCGATTAAGATGGGTCACCTAGACCGAAGCATATCCAAAACTCGGACGTTGGGCTTAAGAAATAAGATACAAATATAAAATAATACGGTACAAATATACTACCTTACATCGGTTGTCACCCCTAACTCATATCAATTTAGCAGACGGAAAATTCACATTCAAAGGGTTATAAAGCCATTTTGCTTTCACTGGGTACTGGACATCCGTGGTCAGCATGAAGTTGACTTCAAGCATACAACACATTCCTTCTACACCATAGTGTTTTCTAGCTAGTCAGATGCAGCAACCGACCAAGGGAGGTCGATATTATAAATGTAAGCCATAAGATTTTTGAGAATCTAAGTCAATAGAGAATTTTTTATATTACAAAAACATAAAATAAGGGCAAATTCCTTTTTATCCCCTTGTGCTTTGTGTCAGTTGCACTTCATCCTTTTATACTTTTGGACTAAAATGTTAAATGTTACAAATTTTGTCCAAATTAACGAAAATTGTAATGCACACTTCAAAATAGAGAGCTGAGATAAAAGAAAAAATTTGTCCCATCACCTCAACCACTCCGATGATGGTGGTGGTTAGTGATGATGGTGGATTTTTCAGTCCAAGATAAAGGGTGATAATGATGGCTTTGCAAAGGTAGTTTTCACACATACACAGGGGTAGAAGGAGTAGATGAACCCACATACAGCTTAGCGACCTCCACCCACTAGTTAAACAAAGGGAGAGTGAACGTTTTTCGGTTCAGCCGTCACCACCATTTGTGAACTCCACCCATCAGCCTAATCCACTTTCAGCCACTACCATGAACCAATCACTTAGTCCACCAAAACCATTTTCGGATACCACCACCACCACCATGACTAGCCACCTTTACGCCACTTACCACCATCGCCACAACCAACCACCTTCTCCTACCAATCCCATATTCAGCCACCTTCAACTACCATCTCACATCACCTCTACTCACAAATGCTTGTTGATACCAATGTTTAGTCAATGTTTGATTTGTGAATCACAAAGTGAGACAAAGAGATAGAGAGGATTTGGAGCGAAAAAATTCAAAATATTTCACATTCAATCACAAAATATTTCACAGGGAGAGAGTAACAAAACAAAGGTTCTGTAATCTTTAACATACTATCAACTATCATCGAAAGTCATGCAATACATTTCACACTAGTATTAGCCTTGTTCTATTCACAAACAAAAACAAAATCCACCCAAAAAAGGCTATTTCTAGGATTACCATTTTTCTTTGCAACAAAACGACAAACACCTAGTGAGTAGTGACCAGAAACTGTCAACCTAGGCTTCTACCTGCTCACCACCACCACCACCACCGCCAACACACCACCCAACTCACATACCCTTTCCCAAAACACTTCACAGTAGCATAGCCTTGTTCTACGAAAACAAAAATTAGAAACAAAAAGCCCAAAAGAACAGGCTATTTCTAGGATTAGCATTTTTTCTTTAAGACAAAACAACAAACACCTAGTAGTGACCAGAAACTACCAACCTACTCATCAACCTGATCATCATCATCATCACCACCACCACCACCATCCCCTTCAAACCCACCACTCAATTCGCAAACCCTGTCCCAGACCTCTCTCTCCACCGGCACAACCGACAACCTGGGCTGCCTCAATAACACAAACCCTTTCAACCCTGTATCCCCCTTCATCTCCTTCAAATCCACCGGCCTTCTCATTTCCCCAACAGCCTTCACATCCACAGCCCCACCGCTTTCAGCATCGTCGTCACCGTACCATTCCCGGACCACCGAGACCACGCCGACGACACGGCGGGCCTTGGCACCGGAGTGGTAGAAGAAACAGAGGTCCCCAATACGCATGGACTTGAGATTCTTTTGGGCCTGCTTATTCTTCACTCCATCCCACTCTGATAGGCCTTCGTTGGCTGCTTGATCCTCCCATGACCACTCTCCTGGCTCCGTTTTCAGTAGCCAGTAATGTTTTTCTCTCCCCATTTGCTCTTCACTGGTGCTTAGTTTCCAAACTATGGAAATGGGAATTTGGTAGGTTTTGGTTTTGATTTGGGTCCTTTTTCTGTTGAAGGAAGCCAAAGGTCGGTGATTTATGTATGGCGGGAATATGAAGGTTTTCGCGCCAAATATTGACATGTCAGTTTGGTCTCTGAAGGTGTTAACTCTAAAGTTATGGATATAATTCGAGAAGTATAGCATTATCGTAAAAAAAAATTCTTTGTACTTAGATTCAAAGCATATCACTGGGTTCTGTTAATTATGTCAGATTATGCGAGTTTTTATTGAATTTTAATTGGTTCGTATTAAAAAATATTTTACTCATATTTCATTCGCAGTCTAACAAATCGTATTATATCGGGTTAGTGTTGTGGATGTATCGTGTATAATTAGTATATAAATAATTCATATCGTGCATTTGTTTTAATTGATTTCACTCATATATGTTTCGTTTATTAATTGTACCGAGTCGATTCCACTCGTTTACTAACAGGGATGTATCATGTTTTAACATCCCACATATAAACTAATCTATCTAACTCTCCTTCTCTTAGTTGGATATTTCTTTCTCCTTTTGGCCTCCCCCAAAAAAAAAAATCCATCTGTCATATGCAAGTATCTTTTTCTTCCTTTGCCTACCTCTTATCTTTCAGTAAACTAATCGTAATTTTGAATCAAGATTATCATTCGATTACTTAAGTAGACTATTTAATCATGAAGAATTTTTTGTTGCATCAAATTGGATTTGATGATGCTCGGAAATTGGGCCCCAAGCCCAATTAGGCGATGTGGTGAGATTGTGAATGGTTCGTCTTAGCCGAAGAACTAAGGTTACATTAATTATCAAGGGAGGCTCTTGCTTCTCGAGATCATATATTACTTAATCTTTGGTGAATACAGAGGCGATATTAAAACTGAGTTCTTTACAATGGGTGAGTGCACTATATTTTTGCTACTAGGTTCTCGGCCTGAGAGTGTGAGTAGCGAGGGAGAGGATCCTCATCCGTCGGATAACAGTTCTTTATTTATACAATGATTCACTTAGGGTTTTCTACTACACCTCCTCCTTTGGTGCTGATCTCGTGAGTCCCCCCTCTGCATCTTGTAGCTTCCTCTGACATTCCGACACCATTGTTCATCTGGCACTACTATTATTACGATCTCTGGTGGTTACATACACCATTCTTTCTCTGCTCTGTGGCTGTCGTAGGTGTTAGAGGTGGTCCTTGAGTCTCTAAGATACGTGTTGAAACGAGAATAATTCAGAGAGGTCATTTGGGCCAAATATTGACATGTCACTTTGGTGTGGAAAGGTACCGCCTCTAAATTACATACAATTTGAAAAACATACCATTACTCTAAAAAAAATCTCATTTACTTTAGGGTCAAAGCATATAATTAAGTCTATTAATAATATTAAGTGAGACGAGTTTACATCGAGTTTTAATGGGTTTATTTTAAAAAATGTTCTACTTATATTTGATTTGTAGTCTAACAAACCGTATTATATCGAGTTGGTGTCGTACATGAAATGTATATAACTGATATATAAATGACTCATATTGTGTATTTCTTCTAATTTGCTTCACTTATATCTGTTTTATTTATTAATTGTATCGTATCGAGTCCACTCGTTTTCAAACGGATGACTTAAGAAAAACTCAAACCTTTGAATTTCGTGAAGTATTATCAGATCGTATCATATTTTGATACTCCTAATTCTAATTTCCCTCCACTTTGAGTTTTTGTATTAAATTACCCTGAACCCGTGACCAAATTACAAAAGTGAACGTCCAATAAAAAATCTATAAGAATACCTTTATTATATCATTTAATTTTCATTGCAAAGTCATCTCTTAACCTAAACTATCTCCCTCTCCCTCTCCCTCTCTAAGTTTGGTATTCTTTCTTCATTTGGCCCTCCCCCCAAAAGAAAAAAAAAATCATCTGCCCTATGCAAGTATCCTTTTCTTCTTCTGCCTACCTCTTATCTTTTAGTAAACTAATCGTAATTTTAAATCAAGATTACCATCCGATTACTTAAGTAGACTATTCAATCATGAAGAACCTTTCGTTGCTTCAAATTGGATATATCTCTTGAATGGAAACTTTGGATACATATTATATATCGGTAATAGTTATCGATTAAATCTGATAGGCACCAATAAAATTCAAACTCATAATACTTAACGTTACGGGTCGTCTCAAAATAATCCCATCCCACTAGCCACCCGTGCAGGTTGCATAGATGTTATCTTGCTAGTGAATTTTGCTGACTGTTTTGCTCCTCAAAACACACAACTCTTCAAAAAGTTTAGAAATGTTGTTGTTCATCCTTCTCCCAGTACAAATGCTGGTTATCACACTTGGCCTAGGGATTTTTGCAGTTTGAATAGACATTCGGCTGAAGGCCTACGGCCAGTAAATCCCGGCCAGCCAGACCATGGACCATCATGGTCCATCACCTGATCGTCTGTAAACATCCCAATAACTAAACTGTGGACCGAAGTGGTGGTGGGGGTATAGTCTTCATCTCTGTACTCATTTAAAAAAATTTGTCTATCTCTAGTCCACCTCATTAACAGGTATAATTTTCATTTCCATCCCCGTCCGTACGTAAATTTGTAATTCCCACCCCCCCCATCCACCACCTTCACCCCTGCTCTTATACACCTCACCCACCCTAGTTCAAGCCCAAACTCAAGTCTAAGTCAATATAATCAAAAAATTTAGATAAATCTAACATTCTAAATAATTCAATATAATTATAGTTAAAAGTTTGTCATCTACAATATAATCCAACACAATATCATGCAACATAACATAATATAATATAATATAATCCAACATAAAAATACAAAGATTTACACTTTCAAAAAAAAAATTGTAAAAAAAAAAATATGTAGATTTGTAACAACAAATATATATATATATATAATATATATATATATGTATTCATATATATATATATATATATATATATATATATACTAATGGGCAGGGCAGGGCAGGGTAAAGTGTCAATTTATCCCCGCACGGGTTTATATGGATATTTTCGTATACGTTTACCGTTCAATACGTATAGTCCATCCTAATCCAAATGAAGCGGGTTTGGACAATACTCATTTTTATTCGGTTCACTATCATCTCTACCAATAACCCAACAAATAAAGTTATTCGTTATAATTAAGTTTGTCGATGAATCAGATTCTCATCTAAATTTGAATTCGATTAGAATGATATAGATTAATATTTTTTTACTGATAATTCGAATCTAAATCCGATATCTTATATTTTATGGATTCGAATTTAGATATACTTATTTTTTATCTGAATTATTTATATATTTTTATTTTTATATAAATATTAAAAAATAAAGTGATTATTTAAAAAAATTACTTGAAATTTAGGTATAATTTGTTAAATTTTAGTTAATTAAGTTATTCAAATCGGATCAAAATTTTGGGTTGTTAACGATTCAAATATGGTCCACTAAAATAAAATTCGTCGAATTATCAGATCGAACTTTAAAATCGCATCCAAATTTTGATAAATTATAATCCGATTCAAAATCGATCCGTTAATAAGCCTAGCCATGATCTTTGACTCGCTAGGCTTCTTAATAAAGGCCCATGGCTTTTTTTGGTTAATTGAATCACTGAGCTCATTAATTGTAGCAGTTAAGCCCTCCTATCTACATCTGCTAGATTTTTTAACGGAAAGTGGTGAGGTGTGCCACTCATTTGACCGGACTTCAACTCATCACATGTCACATTTCGCCACTATCCATTCGAAAATTTAACAAATGCAAACAAAATGACTCAATTTCTACAATTAGGTTTAGGTACTCAATTGACACTCAGTAAAAAAAAGTTCAAGAACTTAATTGATATATTGATCATAATTTAAAGGTCAAATGTATAGTTTACTAAAAAATGTAGGTTAATTATATGTCACTTACTTGACCTATACTTATCATGCAGCAGAAGAAATGATTTAAATAACGTTAGATAGTCAACATAGTATTGAAAAACCTGCATTTGTCCACACAAACAATCAAAAACCAAAGATCATGGTGTCGTCATCTTTGTTATTAATGTAATATTATGAGCAAGTTTCTTCAATAGCATTTAAGTAATGCAAGTTAATAACATTAAACTTGTACAATGAAAAGCAATTCGAAACTTTTTTTTTTCACACATATCATTATTAATGATGATGAATTTGTACATAAGCATAGAGATAAATGGACAATGATAAATTTGTACATAAGCGTAGAAAAAAATGGACAAAACTAAGGAAAAAACAAACAAAAGAAAGGATACATAAAGCAACTTAGAGACAAAATGTCAAGCGATAAATCACACGAAACTGTCCATCTAGTCCAATGCTCCGTAGTTCGTAATGACCATTAAGGAGCAGTCTTCATAGCCTTCATCCAGCACCTATGGGTCAAATTGCTTCTTTGTTCTAGAATAGTATGCCTAGTAATTCATTGACAAGCAAAACCTTGTTGATAGTCAAGACAATTACTCATTGGTGCAGGCCGCGGTTGAAATGGTAGCGGGTCTCAACATTAGATAGTTTTTTAAGTTGAAAAAGTATAATTGAGATCTAAATACCCAATACATTATTATATATTGTCGGTTGACTAGTGTGTTCTAATATAAAATGAGATTCATTGTCAATCTAACATGCAATAATATATAAAATCGCTAAATTATGTTCAAATAATATTATGAATATAATGTAAACTCAAAAAATCGGGGAATGCAGTGCCATTTATTATTCCAACCAAATCATAACTGCCAGCTGAAAAGTTTATGGGATTGCCACACAAACCATCGAGTGCATTTATAGTGGTTTGTGGGAAAGTAAAACGTATTGGAATGGCCATAATATGGCTTCGTAGTGGGTATCAGATAAGAGTGTGTCTCCATCGTGTGGAGCATTAGTAACCCACGCTTGGTTGCAATTTGTTGCCAAACAAAAATAATGTCATGCTTAAAGCCAAGGAGAGTAAGTGTCGAGTTTTCGTATTGTATCGTATTCAATCATGTGATTTTAGTTTATATTGTCTTCGAATGTCATATTCACATCGTATTAGAGGCAATGGGTATAGCATAAAAACTGGAAAT